AGAATTTAGTAGCACACTTTTGTTCGGTTGACAGCATGGGAGTTTCCTTCATTTACTGCCGTGTCGGATCGGGCAATTGGGTGCAGTCGGTACTCGGAATGAGAGAGCCAAGTGTACAGAATATAAGAACCAAATTACGGGATACCAGTCCGCGATGAATCACTATTCCATTTCGTCGATTTAAAAAGAGAATGGATCCTCTTGCAAAAAATTTCAACTCGAACTGGCTAACTCACAATCTAGTAGCAACTGGGGCGATTAATTTTCGCATACATGGCAGGTATGAAAGTGTAGCCTATTTCAAATATGACCGAGATTTTGTCTAGGGCACTCTGGACATCATGAAAAATCCCGAATTCAGTTGGTTTTTTAGCATTTCGGGTCGATGAATTGAAGCTCGGATAGATAGATAGATAAGTGTATCAAAAAACCGCAGTGTTTGCTGCAGCAAACATCTGACATCATGTACAGCTAAACACATCTGCTCCAAAGACATGCAAGAGACAGTCGTTAGCTGAGAGACGCTGTCAGAACACTGATACTCCCAGATTCGTTGAGGATAAGGGTCAGGAGAACAAAAGCTACAGAAGCACTTTGCAACATCACCGCCGAATCCACATTACATGGTGCAGAACCTGAAGGGATAGATGCATCATCTGTCGTTTGATGTGGACGTCGACATACGAATGTGTTGATAAAACTTATGCAACACCACTCTCGTTTTGGAAATACACATCAGTTTCCAGTGTCATATTTGTACATTGATGGCTACGGGTAGTGTTTATTCCTTACTTTATCTCCCACTTAGATGTTCTCAGTTTTCTTCTATCACCGTTTGAATTCGCGCGACCTTGAGTGTCGCGATAAAATCTGTAGCAGCCTAGATTCGAAAAATATTTTACGCACAGCAGCATGAAAGTCTATTTTCTTCTAATGAATGATTCCTCTTTTATGTGTTTATTAAATCGAACGCGCGCATTCTAAATTCCCAATCTCTTTTCATTCAGTGCACAGTGAATAAGTCAATTAATAGAAATATTCTACCCAAAACAAATTGATAAATTATCGGGCTACAAACTACTCATGCATCATTCCCAATCCTGCAAAAACGAAAAATATATTCCAATGAACATAAAAGTTGACCTTCGAGCATGACCTTGAGGTGTGCAGCTCGTTAAATTAGCGTCTTGTGATGTCACCATACCCAAACCGGATGAAACATTTTAAAGATTTTAGCATACAACCGAAGCTGAGAGGAGACTTAAGCGAGAGGCACATAAATGAAATGACTCAGTTCTTGACTTGTGCAAGTGTTTTCATGTGAATATAAGCCTAATTTGTTACACAAACAACGGAATTTTTCCATCAAGACATTAACCACCAGGGATAAAACCGATCATATCGAAGTAAGACGATGGTTAAATTTGATCGCAGCTGAGAAGAGGTGTACCTAATCAATATGAAGGATGGTCCGGGAGGATAAGCGGCAAAGTTCTCAAGCTATCGTTCGAAAAATGATGGCTCAATCTGAAATGCAAGTGAGGCCACCTGATTTGAAACCGTTATAGAACGCCCAACAAAGCAGAACACGTATTGATTTTACCAACAAATTCAAATCGCGTCGCCCGTTTATTTGACAATGGGTTCCTCTCACTAGTGGTCAACGAATAATTCATCAGGTGTGGAAAGTTGATCTATTGACAAGTTTTCTAATGAATTTCGTTTTACTCGTTAAGAGTAAATACCCATCCCGCTCAACGAGTTGGAAGGGAAATAAATACTGAGCGCTTTATTGTTGGTCTCCTGCATACAGCAATCCGGATATCCCAAAATTTCTTGCACTGATAACGCAGGTTTTCGATAATTGCCACTATCAAAACGCATTCGCGAAATCATATATATTATAGATTAAGGTTAGTATATCTTCTCGTGTGAGGTGGGTAATGGAAAACGGTTAGGTATTATTTTCACATTAATGCAGTTTCTGGAGGGGTTAAGGCCCATGTAGAAATCATTCAATTACCGCATGGCAGTTGGGATTTTAATCTAACCGAAATCGTTTTCCTGTGCTAGAAACAGGGATAAGTTAGCTCCCTCGAGGGGGGTCCCCAGTGGTTAGGGTGCGGCATGTATTAGATAAAACTGGAAAATTCTGTTGGATAGTCAACTTGGCGGAATCCATGCGAAAGTGACTGTCTCCAGTGCTCAAAAATGAAGGGCAAATAGAACATGGATGACATGAAAATACAATACCTGTATCAAGTCTATGGGTCACTTGAATGAATAAGTTCTGTTTCTTACAATGGTTTTGTTACACCGGATGCACCAGCAACTGTTATCGAAATCGAGAAATCGTACATGTTAATGCCATTTGAATAACAGAAGCAAAGACAGGTAGATATCATTAGAGATATGTTGCGTCGATATGAGGCAGTATCATATTCAATCCCATGAATGAGGCTACGAAAACTAAGCGACGGGAGGAACAAATGTGAAGAAAGTCAGTGTCGCACGAGTTTGGTCAATACCCGTATATCCCTGTGACCTTGTGTTTCTTTCTGAGGACGATGAATTCACAGTGACTCAAACCTCATAAGAGGCCTGGTTTAGTAGTTCTGGTGGCTTTCCACTCGGTAATTCTACTTTATAATTCTTTGACAAGTTTCTCAAGTTTTCTACACGATGAAATTGATTAAATCTTTCCTTATCACCCTTATCGCCCTAAGCGCAATCATTGTCAAAATTTAAATAATTCCTCGCAATAAATTATGACACACAGTTGAGGATGATGAACAGTAAAATGGTGCATTCCACCGTCTAAAATGGCGGTTACCCGGAAGATCAGTTACCTCAAAAGGCATAAGGCCTCCGGCTCAAATGGGCCTATCCGCCTTCAAGGATGGAGGGTCAGTTTTAGTCTTGGAGTTGATAAAACTCCTGGATTCAATATGGGAACAGGAACAGGTTCCAACTGAATCGTGTGTCATCGTACAGATTCGCAAGAAAGAAGACAGATTTTCTTGTAGAAACCAGAGGAACTAGTTTATTCAACACCGTTCTTATACTTCTCGTTGGTATTACCAGTGTTGTGAGATACTACTCACTTGTGAGTAGTCGGTAACTTTCAATGATTAAAAATAGAACAAGACCATCGAGGACCAAGTAATATATTTGGGAAGAATAAACACTGCCTGCTATACCCATTGCCCCATGTGTCGCGATGTGCTGCGAAGGCATGTTTCTGATGAGCTTTTCGTGTTATGCATCCAAAATTAGTGACCCTCCATCTGTATTCTGCAATAAAGAACTCTCCTCGACCAGCACCGCCTTTTCGGAATATAACACCAGTAGAGCCACGTTCGATATGCACCTTGCACTTTTAAACTGTAAAATATTGTTACACGATGGGATTAGCCCAAATCCAGAATTCACTCCAATTGGAGAGGTAGTAGAAGTAAGTAAATTTCGCTATTTGGAAAGCTATATCTCACCCGGTGGACGTGTCACTGATGAAGTGTCAGTTCGCATGTGGAAGGCTCGGTTGGCATTTGACAACTTGAGACATCTGTGGTGCCGTCGCGACATTCGGCTATGTGAAGGGTCGGGTATATGCTGAAGCAGTTAGGCTAGTCCTGCTGTACGGTGTAGAGAGTTAGCCATTACGAGAACAGGA